ATGGCTGCTTTTCGTATTAGCTGATGCATGAATTTATGCACGTTGACTGTTACAGAACATTTCTCTACCTTAATCCATGTGCTACTTTAATAAAAAAAAAGTAACAATATAGAAATTGTCTTGTACTGTTCCATTCATAAATCTTTTTTTTTTTTGCAAAGTGAAACATGAACAACTTCACTATTGTCATGCAAAATAGGTACCCATTCCTAAGTCTGGGTTCTTGAATTGATTTTTCCAAAGAACCTGATTGCACTTGTACATTAGGAGGCTATACTTCTCATCAAAATATCAAGAGATTCAGAGAACATCTTGTCAGCAGTTGCACAGTAAGACATTATATCCTGTGATAGATGGTCATCTCAATCAGGGTTAACAAACTTAGTGAGCATATGCTCAACAGTGTACTACCCATTCAGCCGAATCATCATACTTAGGATGATATAATGAAGTGCACATTTTCATCACATTTAACACTTATCACAACTCTTCAGATAACTGGCTGTTGATGTTAACTTCTTGGTCTTTGTTCATTGTTGAGGAAATACATATGTGATGGACTGTGCTAATGCGTCAGTCAATGAACAGGATTCAGCCCACTTTGTTAAGCAATCAGTAGTGATCAGCACATACCAATTACCTTTTTCAGTTTTGGGCAGCTAAGTCTAGAGCAAGTCTCTTCCAAGGTGAACCTACCACTCTATCTCAGTTTTCCCTGGCATTGCCAGTTTTTTTCTGGGAAGTGCACTTTGTACAGTGTTTACACTATCACTCAACATCTTTTTTTGCAAATGAGACCAGAAACACCACTTTTTACATTTGTAATATTGCATGACACTCACTGGTGCCCTCCAGTCATTTTATTATGCAAAGTCTGAAGTATTTTCTTCCTTGAGAACTGTAAACCACTAGCTGCATCACAGGTTGGCTAACATATATCCCTGGTTCATAGTAGCAGTACAGTACAACACCTTGCACTTGTAATTGATTATACAAGTGCCAGATTTTGTGTAACGTGTTTCCTTTTTTGCAATGGACATGTGCTATCTTGCTGCACAGCAAGTAGTGCGAAACCTATGATTAGGTCTTTCATTTGTTTTTTCCTGAAGTTCCTGATTGGTCATCTATAGTGCCCATCTAAACATGAAATTGTCACTTTTCATGTGATTCATCATTGCTACTAACTACTGCATAGTATCCAGGATTTGACATTCACTGATAAATGGACATGATCTCATGCGTTGGCAAAGTTTTTCAGTGCTATACAATGAAACTTCTTTCAGCATGGTTATCCAATGCACAATCATATCTTTTGGGTTTGTGAAGTTTATTAGCCATTTCAGCAACACATGGTCCACTTAAATGGTGAACTTTCTACCATTCAAGCATTGGTGGTAATATTTGACAACTTCTACAACTTCAAGCCGTTTTTCTTTTTCATGTGGTATTGGTGTTCTCGAGTACTATGTTTACATCTTGCATACATTACCACATGCTTCACCTTGTCCTGTACCTATGACAAAACTGCCAATTTTACTATCACTGGTGCATGTTTCCTAGGTGAATGGACAATCTTGACAAAGATAAGCCAGCACTTCAAGGACTGGAATGTGTCTTCACATTATGATGTCCATACAAAGCTCAAGACAACCATAATCAGTGCAGAAAGTAATGCATTTATACTGCAGAAACTGACCACAAACTACTGATAATATGATGCAAGACCAAGAAAGCTGTGAATTTTTTATTTGTTAAAATGTTGGGCCAGTCCTTGATCACTGCAATCTTCACAGGATCACTTGACACTCCATCAATACGTACTGTGTGGTTGAGAAATGGAATTTCTATGTGCACTTTTCTTGTTTCAGTTTCAAACTTGAATTCTTGATGTGTTGGAATACCATTCTCAGCAGCAGCCTCAAACATGCAAATAAAGATGAGTATGTCATCATATAGTTGAAACAACTTTTCCATTGAAGTCCCCTCAATGTAAGTTCCATCAACCACTGTGGAGGGCATTATGAACTGAAAGGAATAACACTAATTTCACATAATCTTTTTTTAGAGCTAATAGCAGTTTAAAGGTCTACTTTTATCATCCAGTTCGACTTGGCAATATCCAGAAGCCAGATGTAGTGTATTGAATCAATTAGAGCCTTTCCACACATCCAGACATTCAGTTGTGGACAGTAGTGGAAATGCATCAGTGTGCATTACCATGTTCATGTTCACCTATCTTAGAGTCCTCACTGAACCATGACATTCTTTTTTATTCCTAACAATTACCACAGGAAATAACCGTGCAGTCATTGAAGGTTGTGTTAATCTTTCCTTCAACATCCAGTCAATTTCAGCACTAGCTATGTCCTACGTATCCCAAGGAAGCCTGCACAAAAGTTGTTTTATTGGAGGCATGTCACCTGTATCTACGTGACACACCTAATATCAGCTATCTGGTCCCACAGCAAACTCCTTGAGTAGTTCACTGAGTTCTTGTCTCGACATACTCTGGATGCTGCACATTCATTATTTCATATGTGGCAGTAGCTGCAACACCAGCAATACTGCTAGTTTGTGTCACATCCGTCTCTGTTACTGTGTCAATGACTATTTCAAACTGGAAGTTAAATAGTCGATTGTCAATAGTTATAGACTAGTACTGATACAACAATTAACTTTTCAAGCTAGTGTGGACTGTTATCCAGGCAGAAAACAGTGTTTCATGCATTTATTCTATCACCACAATAGAAAGTGATGATGCAATAGACTGCATCTGTTGTACACCACAGAATATCACTTGCACATTAGAAGGGATCATCACATTCTTGTTAACATGCATGCCCATAGTCTACTGTTTTTAAGTAGTTTGTTGGGGTCAGCATTGGATGATATTCTGGCATAACTGCAGTTAACACAAGTAATACTGGTTGAGTTCATCCCCAAGATCCCAATGCCAAAAAACTTCTCATGTACTGTTATCACCTATACCATGTGATGCCAAGTCCACTGTTATTTCGACCAGCCACTATAATATCAGATGTAAGCTGACTGTTGCACTCATTCTATGTTGATTTGAAGATATGAACAAAAAAAAACTACCTTTCAACAACAACTGGGTTGCTTTCTGTTTACAGTTAGCTACATAGTTAAGGCTACAAATAAAGCATGCTATTAATTAATGTTTATTGAAACGTTACAACCTTGAGGCATGTGTGTAATTCCACAAATATTATATATAAGTGACAGTTAAATCAGTTTAAGAACCAAAGAAAATAGGGAGTGTTACAAGAACATCTCCTTACTTTTAGTGTTTTAGCCCTTCAGACTATTAGCTCAAAAGATAGTGTTGGACAGATAAATACAAATTTCAAACTACAGAATTGTAAGGGTAGAATGTTTCCTAATACAAGAGGTATAAGTGAAGTAGTACTCAGCCAGTAGCGGGGAAACACTGTATGTCAAATACATGTATTATTAAGCTCAAATTAAAAAAAAAAAAATTAGAATTTATTATTAAAAGTACATATGGGTTGCCAAACCTGAAACAACCATTCAACATAATGTAGCTAGTTTGGGGAAGGTAGTTACTTCTAATGAAACAGGTTTACATTTAAAACAGACCAATGGCAGTAATAATAGTCAATTACTTGTGCAAACAACACATAATGAAATCGAAGATGACTATGTTAATACTTGTTAAAAAAAACTAAATTTGAATATTCTCGTGTAATTCCAATATCCAATTACATTTTTCCTGATAATTATGCTGTTAAACTAGGTACTTAGCCTTATAAATGATTTTAAGTAACTATGTACGCTATAGTCTCTGAAGGTTATCTTGGTATTTGATTATATTGAATTAACTATAATATGAAAATTTATACATTGTAACAAATTATGCAGTTTTATGTAAAGCTTCATTAATGTTATTGTCATGAAACTTAAGTAGCATTTTATAATATTACCATTACATATTTTATACAATCTTAGTAAATCATGATGCTGAAAACCATTAAGCTCTTATAACTAGTTTGTTAAAAAAAAAGTTTTTTTCTTTGGACAACCATCATATACACGTTAATAATAAATATATGTAATTACTATTAAAATTAACTATATCACTGAATATCTATAATAAGAATACACTGGTGAAAAAAGTGATGCACTACATTATTAAAGTCTCTCTCTTATTTTAATAACTTGTTTATTGCTTTTCTATTCCATTCAAAGTAAATGTTGTAAGCTTGAGAACATATATCCGCTTCTAATTTGACTCCGAAGTTAATAGTTATAACTCACAAACAGAGGTTATAATCTAAAAATGGTGAGTTCTATTTATTTCCTGTTTTTTTTTATTCTTAAGTTTCTAATCTATAGTTTTATGCTAGTGTTTTTTGGCCTTTTTGTATTGTGTATATACATGTTTATTCAGTGTATAGGATGATAACTGCCATTTCTTTTCCTTCATTCATGTGCTACTATAACAAAAAAATGTCATAACACAGAAATCTTCCTTTACTCATTCATTCTTTATCAATATGCCTTTTTTTTTTACACTTTACCTGAAATGTGAACATCCTCACTATTGTAATAAACACTGGTAAAATGTTGCTGGGACACAGTGTTTCTATTAATGAGATATAAAAAGATCAAATATAAGATATATTTGCAAGTCTGATGTTTCCTGATTTTTTAGTTTAGTATATAATTGTTTAGTTCTTTTTCTATAACCAGAGTCTATAGATGGAAATTTTGCCTACAAGTGACAGCCAAAGAATAAATATTTACTATGAAAATTGGTTCACCTGTAATGGAATTACCACAGGGTGTACTTTCAGAAATAATCCTGAATGTTATCACACTCCTACTTTTCCACGTATATCGTATTCTATGTAGGCTCACCTGTGCAGTTTTGCTCAGTTTAAGATAGTTATTCCTACTTTGCATCCTTTTTGTTAATTTGAGTGCTATCTTTAAACAATTTCTGTGCAGTATGTTAATTTATCATTATGAGATGTATTGAATATTAAAATATAATATTGTTTATTATAATAAAAAAGTTTAATTGCTGTGTGACAAAAACCATCTGCAAACATTGTAAATCCATGTGTAAATTATCAAAATTTATTCAATGTTGTATGTACAGCACACATTTTACAAACTGTGAAGTTCAAAATGTATTACAAAGTAAAAACACCCTGAAAAGGCTGATTCAGGTAAAGAACTGGAAAGAAAGTATAATGTAGGACTTGTTTCTTTTTTCAGTACATTATTTTGCTGATTTTTCTGTGTTTCTGACCATTTCTTACAAGGTTTGGATGAAATAAGTTAAAAATGAAACCTCAATTCAACATTTAAAAGATAATGTTACAGCATGTTTCTTTCCTAAATGAAAGAAAAACTAGGATTAACATAATCAGTCTGGTAGTATTGATTAATACAACAGGTGTAGTCAGAGCTATCAGGCACAGTAAAATTAGAAAGAATAATCAGCTTTTCAGAGATTCTGAGAAGTAACCCAAACATTGCAGGATTTCAAATGTCCACTTTTAGTAATGAAGCAAACACAAATCATCATATATACTTGAGAAAATCATTGCAGATGCATGATGTGTCCCATGGAAACTGACAACATATAAAGGCACATGAGAAAGAAAATGGCCCTTGTGAAGCAATCCTGCAACCATCTTTCACCTGAGACCACTTTAGTATCACTTCACTCCCATAACAGGGTAAGGGAGCAACTTTTGGAAATACTTTTTTCTTTATATAGATAGCTATTTCTTTATTTTAATAGATATACATATTTCAATGTGGTGGGACAGACCTCAGTATTAGGGGTTGGATAGAACAATTTATAAAACAAGTCCCAGATTCTTTTTTGGGTTAGCGAAACAAAGCAATGGATGTTATAGGTAATAAATCAAATGTAATGATATTCACAAATGCCAGTTATCCTTTCTATAAGTTTTACACTTTCTTTAGTTATGCATCATGTTACTACAATTAGGAAGACAGTTAATATAATAATGAATTACTATACTGTTGGGATTGTTAAGTATGAAAGAAAAAACTTTATTAAAAGTAGAATGAATGTCAACTTGCTCAATATCCTTTTATGTTTTATAAAGAAAATAAAAAATTTTATACAATACCTTTAAGAATCAAACTTTTTTTAAAAAAATAAATAAAATTATATATTATGAAGAATAATGACAGGAGTAAAATATAACTATATAATATTAAAGTCTAGCTGAGCAACTTAGTACATTATAAAAAATAAATACAGTTAAAAGGACAGATGTTTGAATTGGGATGGAATGTAATTAGATAAATGATATTTATAAGTAACAACCCTGTACAATAACATTAATCTCAACGAGCATCATATGATTATGACATAACTGCTTATCGTTACAGCACAGGAATCCTGTGAAACATACCTTGTGTCAGTCCTGAAACAAAACAATGTCTCAAAATTTCAACAAATAACAGAGGGTTTGACTCCTAAGATTTGCATAGGTACACCATAAAGATGTGAAAATTTAAACTAATATTCATTAGAAAAATAACATGGAAACCATTATCATTCTAAGTAACCAGTGTATTGTAAGCAGAATGGTCTGGTCTCTTTTGCTTACAGAATACAAAAATATAGCTTGATACTGATGGAGTTCATCACTTGGCTGCTTGTACATCAGAAATTTGTTTCTAATACGAAATGTAGTGCTTATCACACATCTATGGGATGACTACATTCACTAGATGACTGTGAACAAAAAACAACTTCAGAGTCATTACTTTCAACATTAATGGCTGTTTTTTCTGAATGTAATAGTCTTCTTTCTTTAAAGAGTCTTAATGCTTGTTGAATCACGTGTGCACAGTACTCCTCCCGTTGCCTCCACAAAGTACTGCTGATTGGGTGAAACTTTCTGTTGTCTTTAGCTGGAACAACTTCTGCTAGCTCTACAGTTTCATCAATGACATGGCCCTTTGTAGCAAAGAATTCTTTAGTGAGTGCATCTAGAATATCAACACAGAACACCTGTTCTCCCTCACAGATAGGAATATCCATGCAAATAATTTTGTACTTATTAGGCTTAGGTTGTCTAAGAGGAAACTCAAGGGCATCCATAAAGTTTGATAACTTCTCATATGGAATATACTGTGAGCCTTGAGGATCAAATTTCTGCCATATTTCATAATACATGTCATAGTCATCATCAGTCAAGCCTTCTTCAACTTCTTCCTGGGCTTGACTATAATTCTCCAGAATAACAGCTATATACATATTTATGATAATTAAAAAACTGATAATTAGATAAGAAATAAGGTATGCAACTGCAATATTCCTACTTCCACAATCTCCTTCTGAAATGTCACTAGGAAGCTCACAATCACTCTCATCCATTATGGCTGACAAAATACCATCCCAACCAGCTGATGTGGACATTTGAAAAAGAATAATCATTGATTGACCAAAGGTTTCAAAGTTGAAGTTTTCATCAATTCCATAACGATGTTTCACATTCATAAAAAAGGCCATGCCAAAGATGGCATAAATAAACATGACAAGAAAAAGAAGAAGACAGATATTGAAGAGGGCAGGTAACGACATGGCTAAGGCAAAAAGTAGGGTCCGAATACCTCGAGCTCCTTTCACTAGCCTCAGCACTCTACCTACTTTAACAACTCTGACAACACGTAGGAGGGTAGGGGAAACAAAATAAGCAGCAATCAGATCCTTGAGACCAACACCTGAATAGAAAATAGATAAAGAAAAAATATTATTAATGTTTTTACTTTGAAAGCTGTTCAGAGAGAAATGTTTCGAAAATGTAATAATTTAATAAATTCAGTAACTATTATAATAACAGAGATTTCTTAAAAAAATATATTAAAAACAAACATGAAAAATATCCAAGCAGTTATTAGATATTATGTTCCTCAAATGCATTTTTGCATATGGCAAATATTCCATTGGGTAATACAGGTCCAAAGTCACTGTCTAGAGATTCTTAATGAACCTTTCTTGAAGTTAGTATGCGACATGTTTAAATAATAGTACTTTAGTCACCAGCAGAAACCTTGGTGTATGTCTATATTAAAACACAAAGAAAAACATTCCTTAAACTTCAAAAATGTCAAAAAAAGAAATTCATAATCAGTGATGCTATGATTGTTTCTCTTTGCTTATAACTATTGTGATTTGTTCAAACCTAATAAATTATTTCTTTGTTTCAATGAGCTATCTGTTTTGTCTGCTAAGTTGATCAAATCCTAAGTTCTAGCATTGTTAGTCCTCAGATATACAACTGAATCTATTGCCGGACTTTTTGAATTAAAACTGTATTCTGAACTTGTGGTATGTTAAGACAGTTTGCAGTATCTATAGTTCACAATCATTGTTTTATTTCTGTGCCAGACAAGAATTTGTATATAGAAGGTTGAGTACATTATATTAAAACAATTTTGAATATGCAAATCAATAAGTCACATGACATCCACAGCTGATGTAAAGTTGCAGTAGAATGATATGTATCAGAACAACATATTGACATCGCTTGACTTTTGGTAGGTAGTGTCGTGCCACTGAAAATTGAGATTTTTTTGGAAAGGAAATATTCATACACTCAGATCATAAAGATTTGAAAATTCAGGGATATCTCTTATACTTAATGTAAGGGAAAACAAAGGAATATTGATCAACTTGGAGCACATGGCCCATACAGAAAGGCCATACAAGTCATACCCTAACCATGGTAGACAAAGTGTAGCATCTTGTAAAGGGTAAGAATCCATGAGCACAAATTTCAGTAGTATTAAAAGCTGTCCACATGTCCTAGGCAATGGTAAACAACATAATTAAGAAGGATGTCTGTTTGGAAAAGTGTCACAAGTTGCTTCCACAACATGTCCCTTCATCCATTGCATAACTTGAGCAGCTGGAGAATGAAACATACCAGTCAAGCTGCCAGATGCAGTACCTATGTATTTCTGTGATCAAACTGTTGAAAAAGGCACTGAAAACCATCCTCCTTCTATAAAAGTTGGCTTATGGAAAGCAAAGAAGGAGTTGGGGTGTGCTTCGTACATGAAAGCTTTACATCAGGTCACTTTGCAATAGAAACTACGCTGCAGGGGTATTGTAAAAATTGCATAGACGTCAGTTTGAGAATGACTGGACACGGCAACATGAAATATATGATGTAGTGAGTCTCCCAAATTGTTTTAATATAATGTGCTCAGTCTCTGTTAAATAAATAAATAATAATTATTAAAAGGCCATAAAAAACACACTTATAGCTTACTTCTTTAACATTGTTTATAACCTTAATAAATTAATTGTCTTAATTTTACAGTAAAATAATTTTATAAGATTACCTAAAAACAATCTTATTCATAGTATTTTTATTAAGAAAACCAGTACTCACAATGTGAACTGTGGTAAATCTACAAATTATATTATTTTTATATTACACTGTAAAATCCAAGAGAGAGTTAAAATATTGTATTCTTTCTTGTAAAGTTTATTGATATACAAATCTATAACCTCTGTAGTGTGTATTACTATTGTGTTCTAGAAAATATGAGAGTAACACCTTGTGGTTATTTAAGATACCTACTAGTATTTGGAAAGAAAGGAGTGTGGATTAATACAGGAATGAAGAAACATGGTCAGTGTAGTTTTCTCAATTACCACAGTTTACTTATTTAATGGATGGACATTCTACTCTCATTATTAGAATATGTTATGAAACATAATAGCCTCTTTCATACTGTTTTTTTTTTCTTTAGGTTGTTCATCATACAGTTGGCCCAAGTTCTCAGTTTCTATTATTTTTCTGTACCAAAATAAAAAACACATTACTTGGCTCTATCAAGTTATAATACTTAACATGATATGATTAACAACAGCTGACATTGTCAAAGCCACAGTTTTCAGCTGGTTGTAATTATGGATTTTATTGCTCGGTGTAGATATACATATTTTGGCACTGGTTGCTTATGTGAACTGTAAAAGAATGTGTAAGTTATAAAATGTTAGAAAAAAATATAGCTCAAGACGTTTCAAATACTAGTAAGTTTAACATCTTCCATGTTTTTGTTTTGTTGTTGTTACTGGGATAACGGCCAAAAACACTGCTGATGGTGACAATATATAACTGGTGACCCAAGGTAGAGTGGTCATAGATGCTTTTTGCTGTTACTAATAAAGATGTTACTAATTGTAAGTTTTGTAGAAAATTCTAGCAACTCTTGTGGTTGAAGTTATTATATCATTGTTATGGGTAGAATACATTTAATGTTTCATCACATACACGTTTTGTATATATATATATATAACATTTTCGTAAACTTTCTATTTTTAAGTAAAATAACCATTTTAATTTAGACAATAAAACTTTATTTTTATCACGTTAAAAATTGGAATTAGGCAAGTAAAATATTATCTCATTCAGTGCAGTACTTATTGATTTTTAAGTGTGTGACCACATTATTTTGAAGGTATATTAATAATATGGTCACACACACTAAAGACAAGATTCAAGAATTTGTGAACCATCTGAACAGATAAATCCAGTGATAGTTAAACAATGGAAACAGAAGGTAGTAAACTCCCATTCTTAGATGTGATGGTTACTAAGATACAAATCACTGCCTAATTTAAAGAATCAACAAAATTTGTAATAATTAAGATGCCAAAAAAGGAAGGAGAAAAATATGTATCCAGAACCCTCAATGGAAATGGATACCAAGGACACTTGATAAAGAAGATAAATACCAAGAATACACAGGAATATAATTACAGACATATAACCATATTCCCCTTATATCAAAGGTTTCTCTGAAAACATACAAAATAAAGTTAGAACAGTATTCAGAAGCCACAAAATAATATAATCACAGTTAGTACACAACAAACCACCTTAAGACCATTGGAGAGGAAACACACCATTTACAGCAACCCATGTGAATGTGGATTCCAATACATTTGAGAAACAACGATCAACAAAAGTTAAAATTCAGAAATGTAAAAGACATACAACATTCTATGATACAAAACTATCTGCAATAGCTCATCAAGTCACAGAAGAAGACCATACAATAAATTGGAATGATACTAAGGTAATGAGATATGAACCACACATGAGAAAATTATAAAAAAAAAACCTTCTATATCCACCAACCTGGTAACACACAACAGCCAGCCTATCACAGAAGTAAAAAAAACCTGGATACCCCTCTTGGAAACATTAAAATAAGTTAGATGATTAAAGTCCTATTGGCAATCAAAGTGTTGCATATAATCTAGTTAGTAATTAGTATTTACCAATTAAAAAGTAAAAGAAGTACCTAATTAGAGTTAGGTGATTGTATAGACTACTAAAAATGACAATGAATCATTCAATGCAATTGCGTTAAAATGAAAATATGTGAAAAGTGTATGAGGACACAATACGTGTCTCCTTAGAAAAAAAAAAACATTTGATAATAAAAGTATGTGCGAGATAATAAAATTTTGTGTCTTTGATATAATGTTCACTTTTTCAATAAAGGCATCTTCAATGACAGAAGACAATGTGTGAAAATCTGTGGTTTAGCCTAAAATCATTTTAAGATGATACTTACCTATTACTGATAGTATTACTACAACAAAATCAAATATGTTCCATGGTTCTTTGAAGTAATGCAATCGCAGGGCAAAAATCTTGAGAACACATTCAGCAGTGAAGACAGCAATAAAGAAAATGTTTAGTCTCTCTACAATGAGCTCAAACATTTCTGCTTGTCTGTAATGTTCTAAACTCATCACAATCATATTTAGCATGATGAAAATCATGATGGCCATATCAAACCTTGCATTGGTGATCAGGTCAAATGCAATAGCCTGAGGTTTAAACTGTAATAATAATAAAAGAATATAATTAATGATGAGAATAACACTATTGGCTTAAAATTAAATATTTAATCACAAAACTAGAATTTGAGTCATGGCACCATGAACTAATGAAAAATGGATTACAAAATTTACTTTATATGATGATCAGTAGTACTTCTGAAGTTGTACTAAAATTTATTAACAGTGAACTTTACCTCGATTCCAAAGTACACCTGTTTTATTGTAAAACTAATTTTACATTATGGTTCTTGGAAACATCTTTATTTGTTAGGGAATTGCATTTAAAATGTAAATAATTCAAGAAATGGAAATTTATTTTGAAATGGTAATTTCTTACACGAGGGCGAGGTATGGCTTTTATTGGTTTTCTTGAACCCATTTTCTTCATGGCATTGTAATACTTTTTCTGGTCTTCAGTCATAAACATTTCAAGAGATCCTCCTGTGTACAATATAAAAAAATATCCTAGTAAGACACCAGTAAACATAAATGTGTATGATTTCAATTTAATTACATTACTTTTTCTAACTTAAAAATTGCATTCACAGTTTTGATGATATGTAAGCAAGTCCTAAAATTGCTCGTAACTTCACATTTCTCATTTTAAACGTTGTATTGGATTTTATACTACTAAACTAAAACAACAGGCAAAACATATTTTCATACACATAATAATCTTTACAAGATATATTATTTTCCAAGGAATCTGTTAATGAGTAGTGAGGAACTTATCTTTTTCTTTTGTTCATTGAAGTTGTCAATTATGACTCCAATGAAGAGATTCAGAGTGAAAAATGAACCGAAGATGATGAAAAAGACAAAGTAAAGGTACATGTAGATATTTATTTCATCTTCAGGTTGTTCTCCTTTACTCTAGTAAACAAATAACTTGTTTGATTAAAATATAGAAACTTCAATTTTCAATATCATACTACAAGTTCTAGTGTTGTTCTTGTTATTTTGTTTTAAAAACATGCTTTACACGCACTCGGTCATTTAGCTTTATCATTTTATTGCAAATATATATATATATATATATATATACATACTAGCTCACCTTTATACATATAGAAGTGCAAGTTTATCTTAAGTTTTACTTACAACATGTTTATGTTTAGTATGCAATAAACTATTTAGCTTTTTAAATAATTATGTCAAAAGCCTTATTTTGTCTTAAATAGAGCAATAACATTATAGCAGCATGAATAACTATTTTTCAAGAATCACTTAATTTTATACTTATAAATTTCGAGTACTATAGAATAACTTTAATGTAAAAGTTACATATTTAAACTATGTGCAAGCAATGCACAAGTTAAATCTTATTTCACTTAAAAGTAAATACTGTGATCTAGGTATCGTACATCAATAATAATAGCATCCAATCAAGTGATTTGTTAATGTATTTAAACACAATTTATCTGTGACTTATATTCTTAAATTGATAAAAATTCAGAGCAAATTTTTAAGTTATGATTTAATAATTTAATCAATATTTCCAAGTATGTTTCCCTCAATAAAAGCACTTGTCAGGTCCTAAACTTTTATGGTATAAGCATTTTTTTTTAAGTGTACTTACATTTTTTGAATCAATAGCACTATTCATTATGCCTGTCCAGCCCTTGAAAGTAGCCTGAAAACAAATCATAAGAAATAAAATTTGTGTGAAATATCCTATGTCTTACTTCTTTTCGACTGGATAACACTATACACTTGTTTTCATTACTGATAAATAAGCTGGTGTGTTCTAAGAGTAAAAAAAAAATATTATATCAAGAAGTTCTAGGTTAGGGAAAATTCGTATATTGTAGATAATATGTTTAGTATAAAGAGCAGCTGTAAATACCGATTTAGTAAAAAAACTATAATAATAACTGGTAACTTATAAACTAACATAATATAGTATAATTTTATGTTGTATTAAAACTACATAAGTATATGGACTTAGAATATACATGTGTGATTGAAAAAAATCATCAAATTTTACCTGTCTCTAAATGTTTTTTTAATTTGCTTGTAAGTGGGAAAGTCATAAACTTGTATTACTCCTCTAACTTAGACAATAATTGCATGCCACAGAAATTGTGCAGTAGGTTTTACTTGGCTCTATTTCTGTGTCATAGAAGTTAGTATAAATTGGGAGGTTTATCTCCATTAAATATATCAAACGAGAATGATTATTGATGCAGGAAGTCTAAAAACTAGGAATACACGGGTACTCGGCCAGATATCTGGCCCCGGCCACGTATTGGGCTATCCAGTAATACTTGGATTCGACCTAGTGTTAAAAGGTAGACATCTAAGACCTAATCTTTGTGGCAACTAATGCAGTACTGAAAGTTACAGTCAATAATTGATTTAGTTAAAAAAAACATATTCTGAAAAACAAAGACTGACCACCCTGTGAAAGTCGGGGGATTCAGGAAACAATAGGGGTTAATAAGAGGCATGGCTTGAAAAGTGGATTTCTGGGGAAGGTGGTGGTTTTGAGAACAATAGGGGTTAGGGTTTAAGAAGTTGGGGCTAGACATTGAAAGTTTAAAATAAAACTTGAATGTTCTGTTAGTGATTATTCGGTTAAATGTAATAAATGTCAATTTTGTTGTTGTTTCTAATTTTTGTATATATTTGGTGGGACTCAGTCCCAGTTGACACCCGGCCCAAGCTTAGTGACCGGGTTCCTGGACCTGGTATTTGGCCAAATTTTACTATTCGTGCATCCCTATTAAAAACTGTAGAGTACTGCACTAGGACCTTTGTCTGATATAACAGTAATCATTATTCTACTTCACATCTTCATATTATGCAGAGATACTTTTGTACAGCTCCAACAGCCAAAAACTTCAAAACCAAATATAGAGTCTGAGCAGTACAAGTGAAAGACTCCAGTGCTACAACATATATAAGAATAGAGATTGTGATTCTTCAATCACTGGTGTTTGCTTCTTTTTATTTTGTTGTCTGTAATGATTTTATTTTATTCACAACATTTCTGGAACCTGCTGTATTGCAGACTCTTTGATTTTTTTCTGTTGCAAATCAGTGTTTGTGTATGTATACTACAGACTAAGTTATTACATTACATTTTGGTGCTGTGACCAAACGATTTTTTATTGTGGAATTTATTTAAACATGCTCCTCTTTTTTTTTTAGTTTCACTCTCTGGTTCTGTAAGGTGCACATTTTGGGATCACACAGAACTTGTTTTGGAAAGAAGGAAGCCATGGTTGAGCTAGGAGCTTGATTCAAGAGTGTGGCAAAGACTAGAAGAGGCCGTTTCCTGGGCCAAGAGTTTTACTGGCCATGGTGAGAGCTATGTTTATGTGATAAACTGATAGAAAAAAATTAAAGATTAAATCACTCTTTGATAAATGTTTTGATTAGTTGAAAAGCCTAAAGTAAAGTTCTAAGGTAAAGTAATCCTTCTCTACTTACTACTTGAAAAAGGGAAAGATAGGCATTCAGTACATTGTCAAAATTGATCAATGGGTTTTCCCATGTCAGGTTCTTTGCTTTACAAATATCAGCTGTGGGTACATAGGAGCTGTTTACTCTGATTCCATTGGCATCTACACAATGATAGAACTTCCCAGCAAACATCTGAACTCCCATGATGGAAAAAATAAGCCAGAAAATCAAACAAACCAGCAACACGTTGAAAATGGCAGGAATCGCTTGAATCAGAGCATTTACAACGACCTAGCAATAGTCAAACATATATTATTTATATACACTGTAAAAAAATTATAAAGAGAAAATTAGGAATGTTAAACTTTTAAAAATTCTGGTAACAGACTTGCAGACTTTTTTAATTTTTGAAAGTTTTTTGCACATTCATATTATAGTCTTATTTTAAAAGATACTTTTCTGTTAACTCCATAATCAACTATAACTTTAAATGACATTGATATATGAGCTTAAAAAGAACAATAGTATTTCAATAATTGTTTTTGCTGATTAAATATATATTATAATATGAAACATATTCACACTTCTGCTTTATTCATTAGTGTTATTGAAGGTGCTTAACAAAAATTAGTCCTGTTTAGTTTCATCCAGAAGATTTAAAATATATAAATAAACTTTAAATAAACAGAATTTTAAATTGATAAATAACAAAAATAATAAACTTCACAAAGTAATGTCATTAAAAAATATGCAAAGAATGACAAAAAATTTGAATATTAAGAAGGTGAACTGATATTGTTATATGCTAAACATGTAGTTTCTCATACTCTTAAACAATAAGATAAAAAGGGCAACACACAAGAAAAAGAAATGTAGTTAGGTCAATATAGAGAAAAATGTAATGAAACTTCCTTAGTACAGAGACTGTACCGTGTAAGAAATTGTACAATAGTGCATCTTGTTTAATGTTCCACTCATGCAAAACAGAAATAGCAGATAAGGCATCAGTACAATAATTAGTTGTTCAAGCTTGAACATCAAAATACAAAAGGTTAAACCATCTTAGAGAGCTCTGTAGATGGAGAAGCTTATAACATGCAGAAGGAACAGAAGAAACAATATCTTACCATACAAAAACACTGAACCAGCAAAGAAAAGTTAAATTTTGAGAAAGAATCTGGTTATTTGACTATTAGTTATATGAAATAATGGCTTGCATTTATTGAAAGAACATAAGAAAGGTTATATAAATACTCAAAATAATACAATAAAAAACACTCATTAACCCTTAATCCACTGGAGGTCTTATTATCTGGAGAAAATAACAATACATTTAACCGACCAAATTGAATGCTATGCTATGCCATAATAATAAACTCTCAAAGAAACATTTATTTAACAAAAATGGTTTTAAACCATACCTATATTTCGTACTGTTTTGGTAAACGTTTTTTCAGGTTTTACTAATATTTTCATACAAATGTACCAAATATCAGTAAAATTACATGAAGAAATGTGGGCCTAACTTGTATCACATTTGTTTTTGGAAAGAAATTGTCCAATTCCATAAAAACACTAACAACTTAAGTTCGGTGTAATTTCTTTTAGTCTTATTTTCTGCCTTTCGTAAGCATGAGAATTCGATATGAAATTTATCAATACAAGAACTCCTTCTAGAGATATGACTTATTTAGTTTTAAATTTTATGTATTTTTCAAATAATATTTGCTTTTATTTGTATTTACATTTAGTAGTTCTTCAAAGGCCAAGAAACCATGTTAAAAAACAAATTTAGCAAGTCTTAAAAGTCAAAAATTAAGTTTGAAATATGAATTGTTCTTATAGCAGGTGCTTCTTATACTCTTTTTTTAATTGTTAATTTAAATTTTACTAAAATTGTTTAATTTAATTAAGTGGTTTTGTAATGTAAAGTTTTACAGCAAGTCAAACTAACTGCATGACCTGGTGGGGAAGGGGTTAATATATTTTTTCATCTACCATACAACACAACAAGAAATACTGATCAATACAATTCATCCAATCTTTAAACAAGACTGTTAGACAAATAAACGTAAAAAACTAATTTTAGTAAAATTGTTTAATTTAATTAAGTGGTTTCGTAATGTAAAGTACTACAGCAAGTGAAACTGACTGCATGACCTGGTGGGGAAGGGGTTAATATATTTTTTCATGTACCATACAACACAACAAGAAATACTGATCAATACAATTCATCCAATCTTTACACAAGACTGTTAGACAAATAAACGTAAAAAACCAAAATACATTTCAACAGGATAATTATTAATTTTCAATATAATTAAAATTTATCTAACCTGTATTTGAAATGCATTCATTAAGTACACATTGTAAATTATGCATATATAAAATTAAATATTCTAAAAAGGGTGGAGTTCCAACAATACCTTTACTGATTTAACCTGAGAATGAAATTATTAGACAAAAATATACAACTCAAACTCAATATAACTTAGTTCAGCCATATCTACAGATGACATTGATAATGTAAATATAAGCTACACACTACCAAACACATACTAAAACTTTATATTACTACCATTGGATATAATAAAAATCTATAATCTATGATATAATATAATGCAAATGTGTGGCAGTCCATTCATAACCTCCATAATCATTTGGCTGTTTAATGAATTGCAGTTTCTATTAAAGCAGCCTTATCAATTTTAAGAAAATAATTACAAGTTGCTTCTGTAGGTCATCTGGAGTCTAGCATTGATTCTATTATTGTCCTTATTTAGTTTATCATAAAAAAATATCAAATAAAGATATGAAATTATAACCAAGTTTAGTTCCATGAACATTTTTACATCTGATACACACAGGAGAGAGCTCATGCAATCTGGTGAAGAAATAAATGGTTTTGTATATTGTTTTAGCTTCTGGGTCCAGGAGTAGGAATTAAAAAATTGCTTTACATATTAATTTAGGTATTTATATCTTTTCACATTAAACTAACCAATACTTATTCAGGAATAACTATACCTATTTTAAGCACAATTCTACACAGTATTATGCTTTACTGACTCCAAAACATTCTGGACTGATCTTTGTAAAGAAAATCTCTGACAGCTGTCTACCTAATGCACATTAGGTAAATATTTCTTTAAACAAAGTAATGTTTACTATTCTGAATAGTAAGACCATATTATGATTCCAATATATGGTTTATTACATGTATTATTTGTGAATTTAACGATCTTTAGTATATCACCAATATTTTGTATTCATTGATTTGTTGATAAACAATTTTAAATTCAACTTCTACATAATGTATGTTTTTTCCAAGATTTTCTCAACAAATCAGTTCTTGTATATGTTTTGATAAAGTAGCCTAAGTGAATTCAGAGAAATGATTTAGTATCACAAATAACTTTTTGATAAAAAAGACAACGTAAGACCTAAAAATATATACTTTACTTGAAAAACATTAAGAACACTCTATTCTATCTATGTTTCTATGACTACAGTTTAAATCTACACAATATTCTATACTGTCATGCAACACGGAACAATACATGTACAAAAGTATTAGTCTGAGCTTACCTCATAGCTGCCAAACTGGAAGTACCAATGACTTGCTGAAGAACATGATGAAAAATACTTACCCTGACATTCAACCAATTATAAGCAGTGAGGTTCAATAGAATCTTTCACAGGCAAAATACTGTACAAGATTACACAACTCTCTATGCTTCTGATCAAAACATAAAAATTTTCTGAAACAAAATATAACATGCAAAAAAAAAATTAAATAACAATCTACAAACTAGTATACAAAAAACGTTCTTGGACTGCCATGCATTTGATAAATAAATAATAAAGTAATGAAATATTTGTTAAGTTATCTTTAATTACTCTTATAGATGCAAAGAAAAAGTGGTGCAATCTAACAAAACTGATTGCATTTGGAAAAATGATAATGTTCTTCCTTCTACAACAGTTTACATTGTACTTTTAGGTGGAATGAATTTTTAATAAAACGTATAAAAGTCAACAAACTTGAACTTGGACGTTAGATACAAGTTTTTTTTACTCTCATGAAAACTTAGCAAAAATTAACAAATTTTTAAAAGATTGTGTCACTTTTCCTTTATATCCAGTTCAGTGTAGCCAACTCGAATAAACTAATAACATTAAGCAAATCAATATGTCTTATTTTTTTTCTATTTTTAGCAGTAGGCCAATTTCTAAAAAAGCAGTTAACCCACAAATTACTAACTTGTTTTTATACTGTATATAATTGGTGGGGTCCATTTATTGTATTCTATAAAGTACTTTTATGGGTTTTTCTCATTACAACACTCAGTATAAATAACTTTCTAAAAGAAAGTAGATGAAATAACTCATTTTGTACATAATTAACAGAGGGAATCACATCAGTAATTAATGGGATTAATTGTAAAATTGATGGTATTTTTGTTTAAATTTTTTATGTGACTCATATGTCATGAGAAAACCTTTAACTAACAAAGTCATTGACCCACATAAATATTTGGTGAATAAACAGCATAAAAAGATATCTTTAAAAGATGATCTGTAATTCTAGGGTTAACTCCAAACAAAAAGAAACACTATAACTAACTACAGTGGGTACTACTACTTTATAATGGTCATTCTATTAACAAAAGGATACAAAACTACTCTGCATCTAAAGCTCATTACAGCTGCAATGCAATTCTATGTTTAGTGAAACTGCAAGCTCTCTTTGAATGACTTTAAAACTTACCTTATTCATTGAGAGCATGAAAGGGCTCTCAAAGGTCTCAGAGCATGCAGGGTTCACATAGTCTTGATGGCTTGGATCTTTCCTACCCCTGCTACTGTAGTTATAAGATTGCTCACAGACACCTGGCAGGGTAGAAAGTCACGTCCTTTAAAGCCTTTTATTGGTACTTACTCTAACAGTCTTTAGTGTGAAGCAAAAGAGGAAGAAGCACTGTAAGCCCCAAATGTAACAAACTCTGTCCCGTCAAATGCCACACAACAACTGCTGGCTAACATCATGAGAAGAAATGTATATTGGAGAGTACCAATAGATGTAAAATTTAGGTATGTTTCAGCATATATCTTTATAAAAATGAGTTATAAATTAGTTTAAAATATAGTAAATACTCAATTTACACTATACCTGCAATTGACGTAAAAAAAGCAGGTTGTTTGTGTGGCAGAAGCAGGCATAAGTAGCAGGTTTTTTTATCCCTGAATGAGAGATTTGGTCAACAGCTAGCTCAACTAAATAAGATATTATCAGCAAAGTCACATTAAATACTACAGACAAACAAGCACAACATCCATGATAAGTGGCTCCATTACAAAAGTAGTCAACAGAGAAAGCCAATTGTGTGAGTGTGTAGCCCAGCTTCACAAAGCATGCAATTTTTATGGCAATTTCCAAGGTATCTGCAAGCTGGGTTTTGCACAAGTTGGTCCTCCATTGACTACATAACTTTTGCAAGTAATAGACATCAATCATGACTGGTGGAGTTACTTACTCTCATCCCCTCCAGCCGTGACATGGCCCGCAGAGGGCGAAGGGCCCGCAAGGTACGCATTGTTTTAAATGCAGGAATGTTGTCATAGCCTGCTAAACCGACAGCCAGATTAAACATGGACACCTGAGATGTGTTGAATCAAGGAGGAGTAGCAATAGGCAGCAAGAGAAAAAAAGAAGACCAAATGAATTAGTTTGTTGCTGGTAGTGGGTATTAGAACTGAGAAAAAGGAGTTAAAACGTCACTTTTTTTGTTGTCAATAAATGGCACTCCACATTTAATGTGCAAACCAGGCTGTGAATCACATTTTGTTATAATCCTTAACTTTAAAAAATTAAATAGTTTCATTTCGAAAGTTTGGCTGTTTTATTTCTATTGACTAAGTTTTATGTATGAAAATATATTGACAAATTACTGAATACGACAGCTGTTTCTTTAAAGCACATTTCTGTTCCATATAAAATACATGTAATGTGTGTCTTCAAAGAAGCACTTAAATTTGCATTATTTTTCTTACTTGCAATAGATTGTACACACAATTGATCACAATTAATAAAGTAAAATTTAAGGTAGTTACAACAAGCTACTTAAACAGGGAAAATATGTTTTTAAGTTTAACATTGTGTTCACATCTTTACAGGAACTAATACTTAACTGAAACTTTAATCATAAAATGTGTAAATATAAATCTCATAAAACTATATAAACAAGTTAAAACCAAGAAGTAAGTTCATTTTATTTTAATGTAACTATTGTAGTAAATACATAAAAGTACATCTATAAAAAATAACAGGTGTAAACACATTAAAATACTTTTCAAATACACAGTCATTTTTTGCCACCTCTAACAATTATTTTAATAATTCATTGTTTACTGTATACATCAGCTCTAATCTAATGTTGACTGAATTGTAAATGTTTTTACTCGTTTTTTTATACCTCAATTAAGAAAGATATCGGCACCATATCTTACCAGAACTATTATAAAATCCAACCAGCACCAAGCATTAGTAAAGTACTTTTTGAAACCAAATGCTAGCCACTTAAGTAACATTTCAAAGAGAAAAATGATTGTAAAAAATTTATCCACAATGACCAAAGCTTCTTTAAGTGCAGGACGGCTCTTCAAATGTACATCTTCTAAAGCCTGTGAAAGAATAAAAAGTAACAGTAAAAACATTTTGAATTAACCAGCAAACTATACAGTAATAGATGTATCAATGACTAGAATTAAAGTAATCCAAATTTCCAATAAGGAATACTTTGGACTTAGCTGGTAAGTGGCAAAGACTCCCATACTCCACTTGAAGGAATGGGGAGTCCAAAGGAATGGAATATTGGAGGAAGTGCAATGGGTGACCACAAAGTCCTATTTTTAAAAACAGGCCGGTCCCAATTTATTCAACCAGGATCAAAGATATGGGCAACTTTCCCAACACTGCTTTACTCATAATAGTCCATGAGTTGGTACAGTCTGGGACAGACTTATTTAAGAAGCAAAACACTTCAAGAAAACCTCTAGCAGTCTTGTGGAACACCTCATCTCAACAGTGGCCATTATAGACCTATAAGGCCATACAGTGCAGATTTATGGATTAGTATACCTGAACAGGCACCATTTGCCACAGATCGGGATCCAACATGTAAAATGTGCCACTGTCATGGAAATAATGAAATAGAAAATTACTCACCCATTCACAGTTGAATTGAGGTGTGTAGGAAGGCAATAGGCAGCACTTGGTAAACTGATAAGTAGGACATGGCCACATGATGAAGATAATGAGAGATGAAGGTGTGTAGTATAGTCCACATGCCAGCCTGAATGACTTCCTCCAATGGATGACAGAAGTGGGCAACCACAGAGAGGGTGAGCTGTCAGATCTGGTGCAAGGATCCCAGGATATGCGTCAGAAATTGGGAGACAAGGAGGAATAAGCCAACCAAAGGGTGTCATGGGGGAATTTCTTTGGTAGAGGAAGGGTTTCAATGGAGAAACAGGTGAGAACAGTAACCAGGGAAGGAACTCATGTGGGCAACTTAGCACTGAAGAACACAAAAAGGATAGATCAGATGATCCAGGTCGGAGCAGGGATACCAATGCGAAATGGAAGGGGGGAAGGTGTGAATGTCATGTCACTTTCAAGATTTGTAAATATCTTGGGGAAAAAACTGTAAGCTGAATACAGGAGAATATGTGCAAATATAAAGGATATGTGAAACGTCAAGGGTGAAAACATCCGACCAACAATAACCATAGGCAGAAAAAGGAGCAAAAGTCAGATCTTCAAGGACAGGTGGTATAAGGTACAGATAGCCAATGGTTCAAAAGGAGTTTGGGTAAGAGCATGGAAAACGACAATAAGGTCCCAATCTAAGGTGTATGAAACAAAAGTGAGAGAACAGGAAAGGAAAATAACTCTATGGGAATGAAAGAAAAGAACAGAAGGTATTGGACAAAGCTGCCTGATACCCAGCAATGGTAGACACAGAAGAACCATTGTCAAACAGCCAGGTACAGAATTCTGAGACATGAGGAATACTAGGACAGGAAGGGAGATAACCATGGCACAGGGACCAACTGCAAAAAAAGAGTCATTCTCTCTGATAAACCAATAAGAATGAAGGACAGACTGAATAGAAAAAAAAAGGCATACTACTCATGTGGAAAGTCCAAACCACCTCTCATGGGACCAGACAAAATCTACACCTGAAGATGGTGTTTGGTGATGACACACAACAACTGAGGTTACCATAGAAGGGAGCAGGAATAAGGAAGTGGTAATGAAGGGCATGACTAAAGGAGGGCAAGGACTAGAAACCACAGCTGCGCAGGCCAGAAAGGTGCAATGAGAAGGACTCAAATGGAGTGGTTTAGATAATGGAAAATGCCTGGGGTATGAGGCAGATAGAAGGATAGGTATAACGGTAAAGGTTGACCAATCCTGACTGAAGGCATCTACCACCAAAGCCAAAAGGATGTGTAACCCAGGGGCCAAAAAAAAAGACAACAACAGCATTGTCGAAATGAATCATGACCATTTTACCTCGTACTAAAGGGAGGAAATGATCCAAAGCTCAATGAACAGCAAGTAGCTCCAGAATATTGATGTTCAGAGTTTATTCAACCAAAGACCAACAACCTGTGATGTCCTGGGAATCCATAGTCACCCCCAAACCATAATCTAAATGCTCGTCCCAAACCTAGAGATCCCAACAACAGAAGAGCCAAGCATGTAGGAAAAAGGCTGAAAAAGACAAACACCAACATGGAAAACATGAATGAATGAGTATCCGTTGAAAACCTTGCAGGGGAATGATGGATAGAAGAAGGATAGAGGAGGTAATGCATGAAGGTGGTGATGGTTAAATGGAGTTTTGAAAATAGGACCAGGAAAATCTCACAATGGTATCAGGGTCAGAACCCCATGTCTGAATCCAAGACTCAAAATTCTATGAGTCCAGAAAAGAAAAGTCTGCATGATGATATGCTAATGAGTAGGAATCTGAGATACAAGGCATTCTGACCCCCAGAATGTGACTGCGCTGTAAACTTATCAGCATGGACCCTGATATCTGGAGAGGGTGGTAAAACAAGGTAATCTGAGGAAGGGACGGCATGCAGAAGGGAAGGAGAGGAATCATAAAACACAGGGGGATACAGAAGAAATGTAACATACCTGTGACACCATATTGACGAATTGCACAGCAAAAGTAGGAGATGGAAAGAGGCTATCCAAATCTTCATCATCCTAACCAGTTTCACCAGGAAAAGGAATATCTGGTCTATATCAGGAGACACAGAAAGCTGCATAATGGACTCCAACTTGCAACGTATTAAAACTGAAACCTCTTTTGCAGAGAGAGAGGAGCCCAAAGCCTGAGAAACAGCAGGTTGAGGTGCAATGGCAGAAGTAACAACATTAGTAGTTGTAATTCAAACTGAGAGTGGAAACTGATAAATAAACCTATTTAGTCACTGTAGAAAAAAAAAGATATAAAACTGGAAACAACAAAAAGAATTGTTTAACAGATCTTAAAATAAAAAAATCAAAGCAAATGTCAGCAAAAATTAGATAATCTCCACAAGTTGAGAACTGAAGATTGGGTTCTACAATATAAGGGGAATCAGCTGGGTCAGAAGGGTGTGTTGCATGTTTAAACACATGAGGGTAGGTGGGAATATCAAGGCTAGTGGAAAGAGAACACTTCACATATAGAGGGCAGCACTGAACAAAAAGAGCTATTATGTGAGAGGGGGTAAAGTATTGTTTCAGAATTACAGATACACCACTAATTTTCCGACACCTTTAGTTCCACAGCCTTGCCGGACCAACAGAGGTCATGTTATAATTATTCAACAATACACCTCTAACCCACTAATTATACTCCCGTGTCTCTAAAGCACCATGGACTGCTAGAAACTGAAATAAAACAAATATTAAATGTAAATTAAATAATTAATGAAATACATTAGTATGGGTATAAATGATACAGGTTTATCAGTACAATAAGAATTTCAAGTGCACTCTCGTAATTTTGTCCAGATTAAAGGAGGTGCCGCACCATTAGTTGCCAGAAAATCGGTGGTGTACTGTACAACCTAATTTCACACTTAAAATTACCAACTGATCTTTCAAATAAAGTTTCTTATTCTCTCCCATTTCTTTATCCACCAACACTTTTATCTTTTTTATAAGTTCTAAAACTATATCACAATGTTTCTGTTCTTTTCTCTTGACAAAAGTAATACCAATGGAGCAGGGATAACACTTAAGAAAATCAACAGCAAAAAAAAAAACAACTAAACCATTTCTTGGACAAATGAAGTTAGCATTTTGAGCATGAACTAACTCTCATTTTACCTTTACCAATCTCAGGATATATCCTCCTGACCAATTTTCAAGACCTTTAAAAATTTTAACAATTTTGAGATTTTTTATGAAAAATTACTTTTTTAATTGGTATAAATACTGGTATACAATTAGCCATATATTTTGTTCTTCACAAGAATGAAAACACTGAAAAATTATAGTATAAATTAATCAAACTCAAAAATGATATTGATATTAGCATTCCTGTATATTTTTGTATCATTACAATTAGAGATGAGAAAGTTATTATGTTTTAGAAGTATATATAAAATTATACATACTTATATAATATTATACAAGAAAATAGTATCTCAAAACTTTATACCACCTCTCATTTCTTACTTTTCTACTGTAGTCTTTAAATATTTATTTACTTTACTTCTAAATTTCAAAACATCAGAAGACTGATTACACAGGCCTGCAAATTTAAACTTCATAAAAGTTGTTTGGGTTTTAATAATAGATTTTCCACAATTCAGCTACACAGATTTCCAAATCAATATTCATTTCTTTCTATCACATAAAGATTTTTTATAAATTGGGAAGAAAAAAAACTACTTACTTAGAT